TCACCTAAAAACTATCTTAGCACTTCTCAATGGATCTTTGTGTCAAGAATCTTTATGACTCAAAAACAATGCATTGTTTTCCCTTTTCTAAGGTAAGGAAACATCTTACAAAGGGGGGGGGGGGGAGAGCTAACTAGCTGACCTAGGAAAATTCAAACGAAAATGTAAGTATGTATGAGGTCCTCAATACTCTCCCTGAGTGCACAAACAATAAGTGGTACTGCACTCAGGAGTTAGCAACAAGAAAACGAGTTCAAGATCCCCCTTGGATACAAGTTGAAGGCCAGACTATTCTCCAAACAAAAATCTAATGATACCACAGTGTACAAAAGAGGAGGAGGGCTGGGTGGCGGTGGTGCATGCCTCTAATCCCAGCACTTGAGAGGCAGAGCCAGGTGGATCTCTGTTAGTTAGAGGCCAGCCTGGTCTACAGAGCGAGATCCAGGACAGGCACCAAAACTACAGAGAGGAACCCTGTCTTGGAAAAAAACAAACAAACAAAAGCACCCCCCCCCCAAAGGAGGAATTACTAGAAATTGTACTTTTGTCAGAGAACAACAAAAATACTTATTTCCAAAAGGAACCTTTGGGAGGGTAAGTACGTAAGATTTAGAAGGTAACAGCAAACTTTTGATAGAACAGAAATCAGTATCTAGACCCTGGAACCCCCTAGCAACACAACGGTCCTCAAATGCTTTTCCCTTTTTTTTGGTTGTGAGCCTAGCCTTTAATGGCTGAGCCATCTCTCCAGCCCGCTTTTCCCTTTTTTTAAATGAATAGATCACTTTAAAATTTTATTATTAAACTTTATTTTTACTTTATGTATATGGTATTTTGCCTTAATCTATGTCTATGTACCACGTGTATACAATATCTTTGGAAGGTGTTTGATCCCCTGGGACTGGGGTTATTGACAGTTGTGGGCTGCTATGTGGGTGTTGGGAATCAAAATCTGGAAAGAGTAGTCTGTGCTTAACTGCTGAATGTCTCTCAAGGCCCCTGGAATAGAATACTTTTAAGAAAGGTAAAAATCAGCCAGGTGGTGTTGGTGATTTAATTCCAGTACTCTAGAGACACAGACAGATGGATCTCTGTGAGTTCATGACCAGGACAGCCAGGAATGTTACACAGACAAACCCTAACTTGGAGGGAGGGAGGGAGGGAGGGAGGGAGGGAGGGAGGGAGGATCAATATATAGCAAAGTAAATCAGGAATGATGGTACACCCTCTATAACCCCCAGTAACTAAGGGGGCAGGATAACCTGAGCTACAAAGCAGAGTACTAGGCTAGAGTGTGCTACACAGTGAGAGACTGCCTAAAAACCTTTACATACAACAAAGCACCACCTTAAAAAGCCAAATATGGCAGACACCTTTAACTTGAGTACGTGGAAGGCAGAGGCAGGTGGATCAGCCATTCAAAGTCATCCTTGGTTACATGTTAAGTTGAGGCAAGTCTGAGCTAAATAACACCTCGGGAAGGGAGGGCAGAAAATGTAACTGAGCTTCCTCATATGTAACAAAATTAATGATAACATGTGGCAAGTACTTAAAAAAAGTTCCATGTCCCCTAACCTACCCAAAGACAAATTCACAACTCAGCCAGCTATCACCAAGCATAAAATCATCTCATAAAAAAGGAAGTACAGGGGTTGGGGATTTAGCTCAGTGGTAGAGCACTTGCCGAGCAAGCACAAGGCCCTGGGTTTGGTCCTCAGCTCTGGGGGGGAAAAAAGGGGGGGGGAGTACAATCCATGCAAGCTTGAAAATTTAGCAGTACTTAGCATACTTCTTTTTCTCCAGTTTGATACATCTACTATCGCAGGAGAAAAATATCCTCCCACTTTGTATGTAAAAAAAGTAAACAAAGCAACTGCTAAACTGAACCACAGCCCTGGAATTAGATACTCAAATCTCAGCTCTGTGCACTCATTTAAATGACCTTTCATTTGTTTATGTTTAAAATCCTGGAATAAATTAAATAAAAATTAAACCATGAGCTGGGCCTCATGGTCCAAGCCCATGTCTAGGCTACAAAGTGAGTTAATGACAGCCTGGGTTAATTAGTAAGACCCTGAAGATAGAGCGCAATATTAGTACTTGTGCAGGATGTGCAAATGCAGGGAATTAATGTCCAGAATCACCAAACTGATTAAAGTGAATGTGGATAACATTAAAATATTTAGAAAAGGGCCTGGTGCACTTAAAAAAAAAAAAAGACCTCTATTATTATACCGCTATATAAAAACCAAACACATGTTAATGTATAATTGGAGTAAGTTTTAAGACTTATCTGCTAGGCTGAGCCAAAGATTACACATTCAAAATTCATGCTGAGAATGAGGTTGTGCAGATATTTCAAAGTAGGATCTTTACAGATGACATCAAGGGAAGATACACTCTCTAGTGTGGATAGTAATTATAAAACTGTTTATATATTTTTAGTTTTATTGTTATTTGTTTTATTATTATTATTATAGTGTGTGTATGTGTGTGTGTGTGCGCACGCGCGTGTGCGTGCGTGCTTGCACATGATATGCATGTTAACATGCCATCTGTGGAGGAGAAAAGGACAAATCTGTGGACTTGGCTCTCCCCTTCAAGCTTTACATGATTCTGGAGTAAGACACTGTGGCAAGTGCCTTTACTCTGAGTCATCTTGTGAGTGCCCTGTGTGGTGTTATTTTTAAGAGGAAAATTTGGACACAGAAATACAGCAAAAAGTTAGCATTGTGAAGACAGGCAATGAGTGATGCACCTAACAAGCCAAAAAACAAAACAAACAAAAAAAAAACAAGGTCAGGTAGCAGCGATCATTTAGGAAAAGGCAAGAAATGAATCTTTCCTATAACCCCAGACAGAGCATGGCTTGGTGAATATCCTGACTTTCCAACTTCTAAACTTTGAAAATAACTTATTTCTATTCTTCTAAACCCATTCCACTTGTGATACTTTCTTGTGTCTGCATAGAAAAGTACTATTTCTTCAGAACAGGGGCTGGAGAGAGGCTTAGCAGTATTATTTAGAGTATTGCTGCTTTTGTAGAGAACTGGGTTTGGTTCCCAGCATCCACATGGTAGCTCACAAACATCCGCTATTCTAGTTTCAAAAGATGTGCACCTTCTTCTGACCTCCATAGGCATCAGGCACATATGGGTGCAAGCATAACACTCATACCCATAAAATATCAAAACAAATACATTTTAAAAAGCAAATGCAATTCCAGCACTTTGTCTGTAGAAGCATAAGGTACAGAAGTTCAAGGCCAGCATAAGCTACTTGTTTACAAACAAACAAACAACAAAAGCAGATAAAATTATTACTTTTTTTGAATCAGGTAAAAATGTTTTATCAAAGTATTCCTCATAACGTCATTTAAAGAGGAGGATTTTTTTTAATGCTCTAACAAGAACTGTATTAAAGTATGTGAGCAGCAGTGACATAATAAGGACTTAGGTTCTTTATGTCACCAGATAGTGGCATCTGTCTCCAGACTGGTGCACCCCCCCCAGAAGGTATATACAGGGACAGCACAGGGAATCTGAACAAGCACATAACACTGGACAAAGAAAGGTCATAGTTAAAGTCAAAAACATTTTTTTTAATGATAGGGAAATATTCAAGGTTCACAGTAAGAAATTTTTATGTGCCTAGGTGAAAAAAGTAGCTAAAAAGTATACACACACTCCCAAAATTTTATGCTGGATTAGCTTTGACTTGGGGGTAAAAAGGGTTATCAACACAAATCTAAACCTGTTTTTCTTTGATTTTTCTATATGATTTACAAAAGTTTCCTAAAAGAATTACTCCAGAGAATCAGCAACCTTAAGCCATACATTTAGATATTCTAAGATTAAAATTTATTCTTTTTTACTTCATTTATTTACATGTGTATGTGTAAGCATGCACACAAATATGCCTTGTATAAGGACATTAGGGGCCAACTCAAGTGATTAAGTTCTCTCCTTCTACCATGGAGGTCCTGGAGATCCAACTCAGGTCATCAGGTTTGGCAGCAAGCACCTTAATCCACTTTAAAATGTTTGCAGGAGACTGATGAGCTGACCTAGCAGGTTACAGTGCTTGCCACCAAGCCTGATAACCTAAGTTTGGTCTCTAGAGCCCCAAACCACAAACTATTTTATAAAAGTTGCTTTGCAAGAATGTAAGCACCATGAAAGTAGGATTTTTGTTCACTGGTAAATCCTACTAGAAACCACTGTGGGTACAGAGTAAGCACCCACTATTTGTTGAAGGGTTTGCTTCCTTGTATAATTTCCCTCAAGTAAAATTCAAAATGAACAGAAGACTTTTTTTTTTCCCCCTAAAATGACTTTTCAAGTCAGTGTTTAATGTCACTATCAAGGTAATTATCAGTCATCTGCAAACAGAAGACAAGAAAATAAGATTTCTACCTATGTTATGTCTAAGTTTTTGATATTTGGTAAATACTTTAATTAAAAATTTTTCATCAATGGACAGTGGTGGTGCACACCTTTAATCCCAGCATTCGGGAGGCAGAGCCAGGCAGATCTCTGTGAGTTGGAGGCCAGCCTGGTCTACAGAGCGAGATCCAGGAAAGGCGCAAAGCTACACAGAGAAACCCTGTCTCGAAAAACCAAAAAAAATTTTTTCATCAAGTAAGAGAAGCTTAGCAATAAGAGAATATGTCTAATCAAATAAGCAAAATGAAGAAGCAGCTCTCATGTCTTTCTCAAAATTAAATAAACAAGAGAGTCTGTAGTTGTATCATATGGTTTTTATTTTTCTCATATTGGCCCAGATCCCATTTTTCCTAATCATATGTCAACTGAACATTACATTCTACTATTTTCTGAGCTACACTAGTACCATCAGGCTCTTAAACTATTATACCGAGTAAGTGAAACCATTTATTTTGACATAGTTAAAGCACTGTTGAAAGAATGAGAAGGAGTGGGAGAAAAAGGATAATGGTAGCTTTTAAACGGGTCAGAAAACACCAGAAATGCATCCCTTACCTTATTAGCACGTATCTGTTTATAAATATCAGTTTGCTGACGAATTCGATATTCCAAGTCGGAAACATGGGCCTGAAGCCAGTTCCAGCGGCTGACAATAGCTGCTCGGTCTGCAGCCCATCTCCATTCAGATCTGCGTTTCCTACAAGAGAATAAACGGAGTGAAACCCAAGAGCAGCACCAACATCTATACCAAATAGAGAGAGGAACAGAGTGGGCAGGTTCTTATGCAGACTATGATGTAAAGACAGACACAGAAAAAACACACAATCCACGGTAGTCTTGGGGTAAAGCCCTTCATTAAATTTCCTTCCAAAGTTAACTTAAGTAGAGGTGCAACTAAGTAGAGGTGCTTATTGTACTCCAATAGTGTAGATAATGTTTTTCTGGAATTGCTTTAGATTCTCATGAAATAAAAGACATTTTGTTACTATTTTATCCATCCATCCATCCTTGTTTATTCTGAAGCAGGGTTTCACTATTTAGCTCTGGCTAGCCACTCGAGTGCTGAGATTAAAGAGGTGCACCATCACCACCCGGCTTTTTTTGTTTGTTTTTTTGTTATTTTTTTTTTAAATCCAAGAAGCATTAAGAATTATTACAAATACAGAAATTCAAAGTTTCTGAGTAAAGATCAACATAAAAAACTTCACAGCAGAGAAGAAAGCTTCACTTACCTAGCAACTAACACTAATAAAAGCTAATACTATAGAAATTTTACATATATAAAATCAGAAAGCCATAAATATGCTACATACATTATAGAATATACTCTTTAGTACTGTGATTCTCATATGCAGTCAAGAATTTTTTTTATCTCAATTAAATTTAAAAAGTGATTTACTTGGGTTTTTGTTACTGCTGCTGCTGCTGCTGTTGTTTAGAGGTAGAGTCTCATGTATCTCAAGTTGGTCTTAAACTTGCTATACATCTAAGGATAACCTTGAATTCCTCATCATCCAGCCTCCATCTCCTCAGTGCAAAGTTATAGGTGTGTGCTGTATTTTGGGAGGGTGTGGCATTTGATTTAAAATTTATTTTATGTGTATGGGTGACTTTTTTCTGCATGTATGTTTACTCATAGTGTGCATGCCTTGTACTCATGAAGGCCAACAGAGGGAGTCGGATCCCTTGGAGTTAAGAGTTGTGAGCCACTATTTGAGAGCTGGGAATCAAACCTAAGTCCTCTTAAGAGTAGTCAGTGCTCTTAACCACAGCGCCACCTCTCTAAGGCCTCTAATACAGTTCTAATTGGAAGCAGAGAACAGAAATTCAGAAAAAAAAAGTATGATAGAAATTAGAATGACCAGGCTTCACAGATTTATTATAAAGTAATAATAATTATGGCAGGATAAGATGAACAGAAGACCAAAAGAACACAATGCAGACTCTCAAAATTTATAACTGGATACATGAAATGTCATCTCTTTACATGGACAAAATTAAAATCACTTTTTGTTGTGACTTGCTGCTATGACGCTGGCTTAGCCAATTTTAAAATAAAAATGAATATTTTGAGACTTAGAGCGGGGAAGAATTTTCAAATAAGACATGGAAACAATCAAAATTTCAGCATACAACAAAAATTTAGTGAACAAAGTTAAAGGACAAATACTTGTTAGTACAGAATGTCTAAATCAAGCATACTAAAGAGTCAGTATCATGCTGGACACAGCAGCACACACCTGTAATCCCCATCCTCATGAAGCTGAGAGACAGGAGGGACTACTACAAGACTGAGGGCAGCCTAGGCTGCAGAGTGAAATCCTGTCTCTAAAACACAAGAACAATATTTTTAAAAGGACTAAAGATAAGAACATAACAGGAGCCCAAGATATAGTTTAAGACAACTTTTAAAGAAATATTAATTCACTAAGGAAAATTTAAATCTACAAACATATAAAGTCTTTCAAAACAGACTGGAAAAAGTCCCATAGAAGCAGGAGTTGTTAAGATAAGAAAAACAAAACCTGTTTTATATTGCAGGTAAATGTTAAAACTGGTACAACCAGTCTTCAAAGAATTTGGCTAAGTTAAAAAATGCATGTCCAATCACAGAGAAATTATGCTTCTGAGAATATATTTTTACGTGTGCACAAGAAGCAAATGCATAACATAATCTACTTCTGCTAATGAAGGCAAATAAATTGGTTTATTCCTTAAAAGATTTTCCTATAGTAATACAAATAAAACCAGATCTCTGTGTATCAACATGACTAATTCTCAAGACAATGCTAAGGGAAAAATTCACATCAAAGCAAGAATTAAGTGTAAATGCTATTGCAGGTACACACAAATATTAAAGAAACTCAATGTACTACTGCTTAGCAATTACAGTATAAACCAATACCTTATTTCAACAATACAGAAAGGGAAAACATGGGGGAAACATACACACACAAAGACTGTTACTATTACAGGTCAATAAAAATATGTATATTGTATACTGGAGATGACATGTGACAGATTCAGGGTCACAGCTAGTCATAGTTGGTGGACTAAGAATTCAGGCAGTCTCTGACAATGATCCTGAACTCAGCTCATGAACCTCTAAGTCTTCTCAGGAAACTGTTTCAGAACACCAATCACTTAAACTGTTATCTCTGAGTTTAGGCATTTTAACAACAGCAGCAGCAATATATAATCAAGTGAGTTAGGGGGGGGAAAAGCAACACTTTAAAAGTCTGTTTGAGGGGGAAGAGGGGTTGGTACGTAAAATGAAAAAAAAATTAAATAAAAATAAATAAATAGCCAAAAAAATCTGTTTGAAAAGATACTGAAAGAATAACACATTTCAATATAACCAACTAAAGTTAGTTCTAGTTTATAAACAGTATTACTAGGTTTCTTCGTAGTGACCTGGACTTCTGTTTTAATACTCCTCCCAGATTTAGTAGAGTTAAACACCGCTAATTCTACCAAAACCAACATACAATCTTTGAGGAAAAAGTCATAATAAAAAAAAGCTCTATAATCATTCTAAAACCATATGCTGAAAAGTACTAAATTTCTCTTTGTAAATATAAGACTCAGCTTAATGTTTGGCTAATGTGTCCAAATAAAAAGGATTAGTTTTCATCTTTAAGTTTTTATTCTGAGGTTCCTTTGGTTCGTTAAAATCATCTTGAATGGTACATTCAGTAAAAATACTTTGTTAGAAGGAACACTAAGCAGATTAATCTCTCTTGATGTGAGGACCAGAGTTCTTTTGTTTTTTGTACAAATTATATAGTGGATTCTGAAAGGCATCAGTGATACCATCCACAGAAAAATTACTCAAATTAAAATAAAAAGTGCTAAATTAGGAGGTTCATGAATTTGAAGATAGCCTAGGCTGCCTAATAAAACAGCAAGACATCCTCCAACACATTTTTTACCCCTGAGACAGTATGTAGCCTTGGCTGTCCTGAAACATGCTATGTAGATCAGGCTGGCCTCTAACTCAAAAAAGAATCCACCTTCTTTTGCCACTGGGGTTAAAGTTGAGTACCATTAAATCTAGCAGCAAGACCATTTTAAAACAGAAAGTGCTCAGTGATTTGATTTCTGCTAATACTGAAAAGTGAGAAATTCCTGTATTACCCCTTCCACTCAATTCATTAGGCCACAAATCCAAATATGATTATTGCTATCAAAACTTCACTTTCATACACCCCATCTTCAATGATTGCCAGTACTGCCCAAACCAACAGAGCAAAGGAAACTAACAAACACTATTATCCAAGATAAACTACAGCAAGTTACTGATCTATCTTAAAGTAACAACAAAACCTAGATTCGGAACTATATCACAAACATCTGACGCCAGTGCTGCCAAGCCATCTAATTTTACTCAAGACAGAACAAGGCTGGATGAGAGCTGGAGAGTTGGCTCAGTGGTTAAGAGCACTTGCTGTTGCAAAGGACATGGGTTCAATTCCCATATGGAGGATTCATGTTCACTGCCTCTTCAAGTAGCAGGCTCACATGTGGTATACAGAGGTACAAGCAGGAAAAATACTCATACACTTAAATAAAAATAATGAAAGAAGAGGGTTGGTGGATTTTATTTCTCTTCCTTGAGCTAGAATAAAAAAAAAAATATATACATCTTGCTGGATAGTGGTGGCGCACACCTTTAATCCCAGCACTTGGGAGGCAGAGCCAGGCGGATCTCTGTGAGTTCGAGACCAGCCTGGTCTCCAAAGCGAGTTCCAGGAAAGGCGCAAAGCTAAACAGAGAAACCATGTCTCGAAAAACAAAACAAAACAAAACAAAACAAAAAAGCAACAATAACTATGCCAGAGGGACTTTAGGGTGGTATTTCTGGTGTTTTTTGTTTGTTTGTTTTGTTTTTTTTTTTAAATATCCCATCTACAATCCTGTCTTCAGTTCTTCCCTTATAATCCATCAAAGAAAGGGCCTATTAGGAAACCCAAAGTAAGGGCTGGAAAGATGGCTTAGAGGTTAAGAGCACTGGCTGTTTCTTCCAGAAGTCTGCAAATAGCAGCATACAAACATTTATATGAGATCCAATGCCCTCTTCTGGCACGCAGGCATACACGCAGGCAAAACACTGTATACATAATAAACAACACAGACACAGAACAACAATTAATAAATGGGACCTCTTGAAACTGAGAAGCTTTTGTAGGGCAAAAGACACTGTCAATAAGACAAAAAGACAGCCTACAGAATGGGAGATCTTCACCAACCCCACATCTGACCGAGGACTGATCTCCAAAGTATATAAAGAACTCAAGAAAACAGACATCAAAATACTGAACAATCCAATTAAAAAAAAATGGGCTAAAGAGCTAAACAGAATTCTCAAGAGAAGAATCTCAAATGGCTGAAAGACATTTAAAGAAATGCTCAATGTCCTTAGTCATCAGAGAAATGCAAACCAAAACAATACCACCTTACAACTGTCAGAATAGCTATGATCAAAAACACCAATGACAGTCTATGTTGTAGAGGATGTGGAGCAGAGGGAACACTCCTCCACTGTTGGTGGGAGTGCAAACTTGTACAACCACTGTGGAAATCAGTATGACGGTTTCTCAGAAAATTGGGAATCGATCTACCTCAAGACCCAGCCATACCACTCTTGGGCATATACCCAAGGAATGTGCAATCATACCACAAAGATACATGCTCAAC